AGAAGGAGGAGGTTGAAGAGTGGAAGGAGGGGAAGTAGATCGGAAATCTACACTGTGAGAAGCTTCCATTCAGGTAGAAAAGTTCCTACCTTGATCACTAGGTCATTAGATCCCCTTTTTGTCCCCAATTGATGGTTTTCAAGCCCCAAAACCTCAAACTCCATGTAGTTATGCTCTATGTTCTGAAAGGAGTTCAGATCTGGACCTTATGGACACCTTAGAAGTGTATAGTCTCTGTGGTTGAAGTAATTGAGGTCCCTATTGAGTGTATGACCTCCTAAAGAGCTTGGAATTGCCTTTTGGAGCTCTTAGGACCATGCATGCCCGTAAAGTTTGCAACTTTACGTGATAAGCATACCTTAGGAGCTTAGATCTATGGTTTGGAACCGTTGTGTGTCTCAGATTTGGTCTGTATGGGAGGAGGGTTGTAGGGACTCGACGATTTCCAAAGTGGACTCGGCAAGTTCTATGAAGATGGTCTTAGACTCGATGAGTTGGATGAACAACTCGGCGAGTCCTTTGAAGATTGCCTGGAACTCAATGATTTGTTCTTCAAACTCGGCGAGTCATATGAACTGTTACTGAGTTAAGAGGGGTTTAAGTGTAGAAGGTCCAACCCTTCGTAGCTGCATGCGGGATGAGCAATTTAACGTGTAGCAATAGTCCCAGAAACCCAAATCCTCAAGATGGATGCTCTTGTGAGGATTTGGGAGCGAGTAGGAGAGGGACCCAGCGAGTCTATGCCATGACTCGGCGAGTCCAGTCAACTGGAAGTTGAATTTGACCACGGAGTTGACCTTGGACCAGGGGTAGGTCAGTCATTTAACCTAAGGGTATTTAGGAGTGACTAATCGATGTTTATGGATTTATAGCCGGAGGATTGCCGGTACAGCAGTAAGTCGTCTAGCAAGCAGACAGACAAACCATTCCCACACAGATCAACAGCTACTACGAGGTGAGTTACCTTCCAGTAGCGGTGGGTCTAAGGTTACAATGTCGTCCCACCAGTAGGAGTTGTATGTTAGATGATTGTCTTTGTGATATTCATCTAGGTTTGCTACTACTGATATGTTATGTGCTAGCATGTTATGATGTTATGTGATAGTGGTAGTAGGGGTGAAATAGTCTTTAGTTACCGGTCGATAGGACCGAAGGGGTAGTTTAGTACTTAGCCATTCTAGCCAGATTATGATATGTGTGATATGATATTATGTGGTAGTAGTAGGGGTGAAATAGTCCCCGGTTACCGGTTGAAAGGACCGAAGGGGAGGCCAGCACCCAGATATGCTAGGCAGTATCCGGTCGAAAGGAACGAAGGGGAGGCCAACACCCAGATATGCTAGGCAGTATCCGGTCGAAAGGACGGACGGGGAGGCCAGCACCCAATTATGCTAGGCAGCATCCGGTCGAAAGGACCGAAGGGGTAGGTTGGGCATCCAGATATGTCTGACAGTATTTGTATGTTATGTGATTGTATGGTATGTGGTACGATGAGGGAACTCACTAAGCTTCGTACTTACAGTTTACAGTTTTGTTTTCAGGTACCTCTTCTTCGAAGGGGAAGGAGCTGGCGCGGTAGCGGCACATCATACACACACTCCCGTTTTCTGCATCATGAGATATTCTGGGATTTGTACTCTGACATTATTATAATTGATGTTTTGGGTTTTCAGACACGAAATATGTTTTAAGAAATGATATGGTCGAATGTTGTTTATTTACAAATGCTTTACAAAGTGTTTAATTGAAAATGAAATTTTTGGACTTGAAAAATTGGGTTGTTACAATTACTCACCCTCCCCTCTCTATTCATGCGTGTTAGCTGGGGTAAACGGTTAGTGTGTGTGTGTATGTGTGTGTGTGTGTGTGTGTGTATATATATATATATATATATATATATATATATATATATATATATATATATATATATATATATATATATATAAAAGAGAATACAATATATATTGAACATCCATGAGAGAAAAACCAAAATTTCAAATAGATATAGTGGGCGAAGTTTCAGCCTTGTGTGTTGGGGGTCGTGGGTCCGACTCCATGTTTTTGGTAATATTTGTTTTTTTAAGTAAAATGTTTATAATCTTTTTCCACATGTATGAAACATAATTTAGAACAAAAGTTAGGAGTTTGATATTAAATCATATTCATCATAAAAGTATACTAAGCAAACAAACGAAATGTATGTACATCCTTTCTAGATGATAGTAAAAGACACTGACGACAATGGTATTAGTCTTGGCGGTGGTGTTGGTAGCGGATGTGGTGATGGCAGTGGTGGTAGCGATGAAGGAGATGGTGGTGTCAAATTTTGGAGTTGATGTTGGAAGTGGCATATGATGGTGGTTAGTTAGGCTGGAGGGTGTGGTGCGGTTTCACCACATAAGCAGCGAACACCGCCCGTTAAGTGCGGTTTGGTGCAGTTCAAACCGCAGTTCGGCAAAAATTGGTCGCGGCTTGTGATTGGGTGTAGATAATTTGACTGTTTTGTGATTGGGTGGGGAGAAATTAATTTTTTTTTTATTTTTCTTATTATTATTTTTTTTTTTTTTAACTTGGGTGTGGCAAGGAACCGCACTTTTATGGTAAAAATGACTTGGCGTTTACTTTGTAACGAAGGGAGTGTGGTTTCGGTGACACCACTCCCTCCAGCCTTAGAGCTTTAAAAGATATTCTCCAAAATAATTAATTATCTGTTTATCTTCTAAAAAAACAAATAATGATAACATTTTTATTTTACCATCTTACAAAAAGACGAACAGTTTTTTGCTTCAATTTTTTGTCCGTTAATGCATACCAATGTTTTAAAACCCGGGTTTTTGGTTGACTCGGTATGATGACCGGTTCACGGGTCAACCGGTTGAACCACCGGATCATCCCGGTTTATGGTCTTTTTTTATTTTTATATATTTTTACTTTCATGCATAATGCATAAACATATAAAACCAATAATTTGATGTCCACAGAGTTTAAATATTTAAAAACGTTGAAGAAACCGCAAACGACTCATTGTTTTGGCGTTCGCTACTTGTATCCAACTATCCAAACCATATTAAAACGGTTTTAACCGGTTCGATATAAGCGGTTGAACCGCGGTTTAGGGGAAACCCGGCCGGTTCGATCCGGTTCGTATTTTTACAAAAAACTAGTCTCAATTGACCCGCCTTCTACCCCGGATCACGGTTCAACCGGTTGAACCGGCCGGATCGACCCGGGTTTTAAAACATTGATGCATACATAAAAGGCGAAACAAACTTTTTTCTAGAAAATAAAGAAACACATATATATATATATATATATATATATATATATATATATATATATATATATATATATATATATATATATATAATAAGTTTTGTATTTTAAAATAACAAATTTGATGAATAAAAGTTATAATATGTGTTTTCGTACTTCACCCTTTAACCGGATAAAAAGTGCATAAAGAAAGATGCAAAAAAATGCCACTCCAGAGACAATTAGTGGTCTAATTTAAAAGAAAGAAAAAAAAAAAAAAAAAAAAAGCAAAGGGCAAAAAGTATACAGCCTTTTTTTAGATCTTTACTTAACTCATTCTTTTGATTTAGTACAAATTAATTATTTGTATTTATTAAACATAAAAATTTAAAACGAGTTTAATTTACGATGGTGATGTACTTTTTAACAAAGGAAAATAACTTATTAAGGTAACTAACTATTTCGGTTGTCTA